CCAGTGCTAAAAACCAAGCTGCGGAGAGCGGTAGGCGTGTTGGGCTAAAGGACATGGACGGACAAGGGCCTTTGGCTGGATGTGATCTTTTGAGACCAGTCTGTGGTAGGGGTACCACCACTGGTACGCAGATAACCTGTCCCGCTTAACAGATTTGTTATAATTACTTTATATGACAACAGTTTGCTGGTGGTACTTAAGATTGCATCATTTTAAACTGGTGGTGTGCAACCAGTCAGAGTTTGGGAATCGCTGTATTAGAACAACTAAATAGTTGGGGAAATTGTTCTTTGCAAGTTATACAAATTTAGGGCTGGAAGGGACCTCAAGAGGTCTCGTGCATCCCCCTGCTCAAAGCAGGACCATCCCCAACTAGATCGTCCCAGCCAAAGCATTGTCTAGCCAGCTCTTAAATACCTCCAATAAATGGAGTTTCCCCCACCTCTCTGGGTAACCTGTTCCAGTGTTTTAGTACCCTTCTAGTGAGAAAATTCTTCCTCATATCTAAGCCAAACTTCCCTTCCTGCAACTTGAGACCATTGCTCCTTGTTCTGTCATCTGCCACCACTGAGAACAGTCTCCTGCCATCCTCTTTCGAACCTCCCTTCAGGTAGCTGAAGGCTGCAATTAAATCCCACTTCAAGTCTTCTCCAGACTAAATAAGCCCAGTTCCCTCAGCCTCTCCTCAGAAGTCACATGCTCCAGTCCCCATCACCATTTTTGTTGTCCTCCACTGGACTCCCCAATTTGTCCACATCCTTTCTGTAGTGAGGGGCTTGAACCTAAACACAGTACTCCAGATGTGGCCTCACCAGTGCTGAATAGAGGGGAATAATCACTTCCCTTTGACCTGCTAGCAACTCTTACCAATACAAGCCATTAGCCTTCTTGGCAACAGGGGCATACTGCTGGCTCCTTTTCAGCTTATTGTCCACTGTAACCCCCAGGTCCTTTTCTGCAGAGTTATTGGGAACAAATATCTTTCTTTATGCCCAGAAGCTTGCAAAGAACGTTTTTTCCAACTTAGTTGATCTAATAAAAGATACCACATCTACCCAAAAACCTGTCTGTGACATTGGCAGCAGGCAGCAGCTGAGGGGGAGTCACCTGACTTTATGGCTCATTATAATACACCTGATTCCTTCGACTCTGCCTTCTAGATGCATTAACTACCCTCTGTCTTATTTTTTAATGCTCTTGATGTCTCGGTAATCAAGCTGCTTCTTCTGCCACTAGGGTGACCACCCGTCCCCTAATTGGGCGGGACAGTCCCAGAATGCGATCATCATAGTCCCGGCCCCAGGCTGCACGACTCGAAGACGCTGTTTGTCCCAGATTTGCAGCAGTGTCTCGGGATCCAGGTTTCTCCTTGCAGCTTGGCAGTGTTCCAGCTTGCAAGGGGCTGCTGGGAGCAGGGTGCAGGGGGCGCCACACACACCTGCACATGGACAGGAAACAGCCAGCCAGTGTGAGGGGCAACTCTCTGCAGGTAAGTATATGGGATTGGGGGGCGGCAGATCGAGGCGCCCATGGTGAGGGAGGGAGTGGGGCTTGGGACACTGCCCAGCCAGGGTGGTGCATGGGGCCCCTGGGCTGGAGCACAGCCACAGGCAGCTCATCCAGGGGAAATGGGGGAGGGCATGCACTCCTTGGGGGGAGCATGGTGTGGGGATATGCCTCCCAGATTTGTGCATGGGGCAGGGGCAGATGCAGGCTGCCCACAGCAGGTTCAGGGCTCCCCCCTGCTGCCCTTCCCCTGGGAGCCCCATGACACCGTGGCAGCAACCAGGGTGGCAATAGTATGCAGTTGTTCCTCCCATTGCTGCTAGGTGGGCAGGGGATGTATGGCCAGCGCAGGGCTCCTAGGGAAAGGGTAGAAGGCTTGGGAGCCCCAAGGCCACAGCAGGTAGCCCACCCCTGCCCCGCTCACCTCTAGTCTAGCCATGCCTCCAGCAGGGGCAGAGGACGGGGTTGAGGGCATGTTTTCCACCTTCCAATTTGGAAAAGGTGGTCACTCAGTCTGCCACTGGGCTGTCTGATCATTGCTCCTCTCAGTGCAGCTCCTATTACACCATTTTTAACTCTAGCAAAAAACATTAACTGAGGTGTGGCTATAACTTTCCATGAAGCACTGGATGCCCGGTTCGAGATGCTCAAGAAGGCTAGGTTGCATTTTAGGAATCTGGGGAAAAAAATCATAACATGATCATAAAACAAGTAGGGAGTAAGCTGAAAATTAACCAAAAAGAAGTTCTCTCTCACACAAGGTGCAATTAAAGTGTGGAACTCATTGCTAGCAGATGTTGTGGAAGCTGACTGTTTAGCCAGATTCAAAAAGAGGATTGAACAAATCCTTGGAGGAAAGGGGCATCGGTAGCTATTGAGGACAGGAGTTAAGGATACAGCCTCTGAATTATGTCTCTAGTGGGTTATGGAATAGAGAAAATCCCACACAATTTACTGATTCGTTTTGATGCACTGGCTGGGGGAGTAGTTAGCTGATTGCACGATTTCACAATGATTACACACTTAATTCATACAACACAATTTTATTTTAAAATTCTTTGCTACGCATATAACACTGCTTAGCTTTAAGAAACACCACAAACATTAAGAACACAATAATTACATATATCAGAAACAATGCTCCGAATGCACTTCCTTCCCAAACAATGCTATAAGAATTAGTATTACAAAAACAACTACAATTACAACTAAAAGTTAAATTTGAATCAATACTATTATTTTTCATAATATACTTACAATTCTAGAATTCCAAGAAGCCAAACACCTAAATATAGTTTCATTCCTCAGTAGTACAATTTAATGGGTTGGCCTCAGCAATACGATTCAATGGGCTGGCCTCAGCAGGGATAGGACTAAGTCCCCTTCCTTCAGTCCCTTTGAGGTGCTCCGCGGCTTCAGCGTGAACTAAGAGATTCGTGTTCACGGAGAGGGTGGTTCAGGTGATCAGTCTGATCCGGCCTACACTTGCGATTCTTCCTTCATTGTTCTGCAAGTATAGTCACCTCCAATTTGGGAGAGTAAGTTACAATTTTTATTGAGTGAGTTACCGTCTTGGGCTCCTCCTACTCAAACCTGTCATTACCCCCAAATTTGGGTTCGGATCTTACTCAACAGATTCTTTTGCTTAGTAATTAGTTTCTTTTGTTGATCATTTTAATTACTTTTGGGGAACTTCCATATCACTGCAAGTGACCTTTTCTTACCAATCTGGTCGAAAGGCTCTAGGGTTTGATCTCTCGGAACTCAGGATATTTGCTTAAGGGTCAATTTTCAGGTTCTCTTTGTTAAAGCCTTCTAAAGATAAAATTCAAGAGTTAAAACTTTAAGCAAAGTCTGGATCTTCCACACGTAGTCCAAAACAATGACCTAGATAAGGAGATAAATCTTATCTTCTTCCTGAAACTGGCTAATGGGCAACCATTACAGACATTCAAACTATTTCATTCAATATGACAAATTAGAACTTACTATACCTTAAATGTTGAAGGCTGCAAATTAGAGAAGAATAACGGTGGGGGTGGGGAGCCTTGGTCATACCCAGCTTACTCTCTTTCAGCCTCCACTCTCTGCCTGTGTGACACTGGGAGACTGGACAACATGGACCTATGGTCTTACCAGTTAATGGCATTTGTTATGTTTTAGATGTACATTCAGTTCTAAGAACTACAGGCTTAGAGGAGCAACATGTTTTAATTATTCTTCTTAGTTTGTTACATTTTTTTTTAATACATGTTGTATGCTATAGCAAATGAATGCATGTTCCAATAGAGTTATATTTGTATTTACTTTGATCTTAACTGAATAATATAGCTCTAGGCCCTTAGCATATTAGAGTAAAGTTTCTCATTTCTATTAATCTGAAGAAAAATAAGTTCTGGTTGTATATAATAAAGGGACCACACCACATACACCCTCCTTTTTAAAATTGTAGATCCACCGATGGATATAACCCATCTTCACAAGCGACAGACTGCTCAGTACCCATTTACATGAACCATGGGGCCCAGCCACAGCTGATGCACATGTACTCCACCACAACTATGAACAACACCTGCCCCAATGGACCACGCATGGCCCAGCCCCTAGTTCCACAGTCTATGTTCAGCCCTGCCCTGGAGTTTGTAGGCAGCTAGTTCGGATTACTGTGGCTTACATACTGGCTCAAGGTCCCAAGTGGTCTGATGGGGTTATTTAATGAGTTGCATCTTGCCTGTTCAGTTACCCTGGACTCTTATTCAACTTTTGCCTATACACACACACACCCCCACACCCACCATTTATTACTCAATAGGAATACAGCTGGCAGAGTCCTTGGACCAAAATGCCTAGGCCAGTTCCCAGGCAGAGTCCCAATCAAGTAAACAGCCATGGCTGTTCTCTCTCAAGTTTGTGTGTTTTTCTCACTCTACCTTCCCCTCTCTCTACCTACTTTTTCCGACCAGTCTGTTTACACTGGAGCTTCTTTAAAGTCCATCCCCGTCAGAGAAACAGCAGGGAGTCTTCAAGTGCTGGGGCTTGAATCCACTTGGCCCCAGATGTGTCAATATATCCAACTGGTTTCATCATTTACTTGATTACCCATTCCTTAGTGTACAAGATAGGGAAACTGACACATAACATTATTGTAGCAAGAGACATTTAACCTGGACATCTTGTAAATAGCATCTGTCATAACCTGGAAAATGAGCTAGGGTTGGAGTGATGCTGTGGTTATGATGGAATTTTTGGTGATATCTTTTATTAGACTAATGGTAGAGTTGGAAAAGATACTAGACAGGCTTATGGACACATAATGCCTTTCCTCAGGTCTGAGAGAGGGACAGACAAGAAAGGCATTCTGTGCCTGAAAGCTTGTCTAACATCTCTCCCAGTTGGTCCAATAAAAGGTATCACCAAAAAAATCCTTGCCTCAAGTAAGGGCTGAAATCTATGGTCAGTGCACATGCTAAACCTTTTTTTTTTTTTTAAAAAGAAAAATCAAGGGATTGTTGATCCTCAAGTAAGTCCCGGTGAGACATAAAAGTGGACTCCCACTTTCAGAAGCTAAGGATGCTTTAGGAGAGGAAAGGGATGCACGCTAATTTGACCAAACAATTATTTTAGGCTAAGGACAGATATTCAAAAAGCTGGAGCCTGAACTGATTCAACCTTTGCAGGTTAGTCTATCCTGTCCAGGCTGAACCAGTTTGTAACCAGACAAACATGCTCTCTGAACTGAGGCAATGTGGGGAGATGCCTGCAGTTGCTCAGGCCAGACTTGGGGTGTGCTCGAGCTGGCCGTTGCCTGCAGGGAAGCTGTGCTGGGGGGGCATGGCCAACCCAGGCTGAACTGGCCAGAAAGGGTTTTAATTCCCCCTCCCTGTGCCACCGGCAGGGACCCGAGCCAGGTCTGCCTGCACTCCCCCCTTGCTGCTGCAGCAGGGGGGCAAGGAGCAGAGTCCCTGCTTGGGCTTCAGAGGAGAGGGTCAGGAACAGCCTGGCTGGGCTGGAGCAGAGAGCCCTGGCAAAAGAGCATGCCAGAATGCTGGGGGTCTCTGATTTAACTCAGACCAGCAAAGTTTCTGGGATGGACAATGCATAAACAGGTTTGAGCCAAATCAGTTACGTCTGATACATTCAACAAGGTTTATCTCAAACCGGTTTCAGCCATTTGGAAACTGGTTTATGTGCACTGAATGTCTGTTCTGTTACAGGTTTAAACCAGTTTCTGATCACTTAAATCAATTTATGTGTAATGTCTGTGCTTAGCCTTAAGAAAAAGCTCCTGGAGATCTTCACATTTTGTAAGTTTGTTTTCCTTATAGTAGGTATATTTTGAAAACACTACAGTTCCCTCTTTACCAGGCTGTCAAGAAAGGTGCTTCATTATTCTCATAGCTCTAAAGACCTTTCACTTTTGAGAACGATTCATAATTCTATAAAACTATTTTTTCTGTATGTTCAGACTTACCCCAAGTAAAAGCATTTCAGAATAAAACAAGAACAAAATATGTGAAGAGAGAATTTAAAAATAAGTTCAGCCTTCTTTTTCCTTTGTTTTATAATTCCCTTTAGACTACTCAAAAGTAATGAATTCTTATGGCTTTCTGCCAGGTGTTTGAAATTCAGTTTACAGCCATCAGGAAACATGGAAAACAACCCACAGCATACCATTGTTTGCTCAGGAAGTTGTTTTCATACATAATGCTAGAAATAGAAATGTGTATTGCAATATTGATATTTAACAATCCGATTTTTAAATATTACTTTTTGTGATTGCTAGAAATAAGCATTTGCATATAAAACCTATTCTTTACCCAGGTATACAAGCTATCAGAATTTTGACTAAAACATTATTTGTATTGATGCAGCTCCAGATATGCTTAGAGTACATATAAATGTGTATTTGAAGCATTAGCGCAAAATGATATTGCTGTGCATAAAAAGCATATATCACATTTACTCAAATACAGGATGACCCTG